CAACGTGAAGGAAATGTTACATGGCTTCCACAGAATCATATTGGCCTGAATATAAGCCTCACTTTTTCCCCAAATTCCAACCGTGAAAAGTTAAAGTGCGGCTTAAATTCACAACCTTGCAACATTTGGCATTTACAATATTGCTGCTGAAACAGACATACAATAAAACGGGAACAGGTGTGAGTGCCTGCAGAATTTTAAGGGAGCGGCTTATATTCGGGTATTGTCTTTTTGTCTTTCCCTCCCTTATATTTTAAAGATGTGGCTTATATTCGGATGCGGCTTATATTCGGGCCAATATGGTATATCATCTCCATGTGGCGCTGACATGGACACACATGCTATGCAGAAACTTTATCAGTGACTTTTAGGCAGGAGATAGGGAATTGGCTCAATTCCCGCACCAGAGACTTTTAGATATTTTCAAATGCTAAAGGAATTGAACCCACAGTGAACTTATTTTGGAACAGTTTGGGTCTCTTTGTACAAAAACTGTTTTTCCGTTCCTTTCTCCATTTGTGAAAAATTTCTTAACATGTTTATGAGTAATTTTATTACAGCAAATTGAGAGAGATATAGAGTGGAGCAAGAGGAAAATATCATTAGGTAAATATAGCATTGTTAGAATTACTTCCATAGCCTTGCTTAGGGAGATGTGACCATATATATTATTCTTAAAATTAACAAAGCTATAAACATTTTCATTTGCTGGTAAATAAATTTAAAGCAGCCTTTAAAGATGTCAGAGCTTTCGGCAACAATGATGAATTATAAAATGTAACATATACTGTAGAAATGCCGGTGGGAAACATTATGCTCACATTCATAAACTACAGTGACACAGTAGAAACATTTGCTGGTGCTGGGTTTTAAAAGGCACCAGAGAGACTATCTGAAGTTGTTCATTATAGGTCTCTGTGTGGTCTGTGACAATAAAACAAGGAGCCATTTAGGCATATTTATAAAATAGAGTGTGCCAGTGTTTTAGATTTTCTGGCTTTCGGAGCTTGGCATTATATGAAAGGCAATAGAGCTAGAAGTTAAAAACTGAGGAAAAACTATAGCCTAAAACTAGGTATGAACTATATTAATATTAACTCTTTTAGAATTTTATATAGTCCAATATCTCCAGTATCCCCGCAGATGCTCTGATGTACACACTGGAGCCGGAGTTACCCTATTCCCTTTGGTACCAGAGAGTGCTCTCCAAGAATAATAATAAAAATGAACCGGGAAGCCCCAGTACTGTAGTCTTGGGCAGTTTGGGTGGTTATATGTTCTGTGGCTTCTTTCAAACAGACAAAAGTGCTGTGGGATTTTGAAAGCCAACTGGCTTATTGTGACATGAGTTTCTATAGGCAAAAGCCTACTTCATCACATGGTGAAACTGGTACAAGTTTGTGTTTTATATATGCATATATTGGTTGAAGTACAATGGAAGGGAAAGCAAGTTAACAAGGTGAAAACTAAAGATAACAGGAATGCAAAAAGCATATCTCAATCCCTTGGCTGTGAAATATGAATATATTATCTAAACATCTCTGTTTGCTAGAGCATCAAAGCATGAATACTAACAACGGTTTCTGGAAAACAAAGATGGGAGACATACTTTTTCGTAGAGAGAGACCCAACAAGAATTCATATTTAAACCTTAGGAAATGGTGTCAAACAGCATAATGATCAGTCCTGATAGTTGTTATATATGCTGTTGCTACATCAGTTGGAGTCATGACTAGGATAGTGCAGTTTGGTTTGTCATTGCTGGAAAAGTATGGAAGAAGTTCAAAGTCATTTAATTCGGCATGTGTGGCTTTTTTTACTCTGTGTCCCAGCAGAAAGCATGTTAGCACTCATGGCCATGGTATGGGAAGTTAAGTATGCCCATGTGGTGATGAGAGCTTGCTTGAGCAACATGGAAATGTAGAGTGCAGCATTTTCTCCTAGGCAGCTGTGCCATGTGTAACCATCAACAGTCAGCACCAAGTACAAAGATTTAGCTGAGAACCAGGCTTTGGTTGTTGGTCATAAAGCTGCTGTTTTAAGAGCAAAAAGTAGACTATGATCTACTACCAAAGTAGACTATCTGTGGTGTTTCCCCCAAGGTGGTTTTAATTGTGTGGAGGAGGAGAGCAGAGACCTGACTTCTTGCTGCAATATTCTGAAGAGGGAAGCTAGGTTCAGTGGGCCTCTGGTCACACGTTGGGGCAGTGAATGCCTATACAGCAGAGCCTACTGTATGTGTATAATATCTCCACATTATCATGGTTCCATATTATGAAGAGAGACCACACTCATACAATAATCTTCCTTCTACAGTGGTACCTTGGTTACAGATGCTTCATGTTACAGACTCCACTAACCCAGAAATAGTACCTCGGGTTAAGAACTTTGGTTCAGGATGAGAACAGAAATTGTGCCGCAGTGGCATGGCAGCAGCGGGAGGCCCTATTAGTTAAAGTGGTACCTCAGGTTAAGAACAGTTTCAGGTTAAGAACGGACCTCCAGAACAAATTAAGTTCTTAACCCGAGGTCCCACTGTATAGACCTTTTACACAGTGGTACCATTTTTTCTGTAGGATTGCAGCACAGGCGGAGTGGAGGGCAAACCCTTCCTTCTGAAATGCCGTAATGATAGAAATCCTTCACACACACATCTTTTAACGGCAGCAAAAACAGTTTTGTCTCCGAAATAGATGCTGTCTAGCACCAACATAAAAGGAAAGGATTATGTGTGGTAAATAGCTTCAAAGGTCAAGTTAACAGATTTTGCTCATTTACATGAAGACAGACAAAAGAAGCAAACATTTGAGCAACTGTGGGTGCCTTTTATTTATTATATGAAACAACAATCTAATACAGATATTAATTACAGAGCATTTGCCATACTAGAATCATCTTGTTGCTAAGATATCAGATGAAGCATCTTGCGTATATTCATCTTTATTAATAAAATGTAAATGTCAAATTATTGTTTTCTTTTGTTGATTAATCCTGCCTTCCCCTCCAAGAAGCTCAGGGTAGTAAACTACAAAAAAGCAACACAAAATATAAATACAAATATCAAATATTCCCACAGCTAAAAAAGTTCAAGGTTTTCATAGTGAGCTAGCACCTTTTGCTGATAAGATATTATTCATCAATATTTATAATGTGTTTATTATCTTATACATATGTTGTGTATATTTGTAATAAAAATGTTCAAAAAGGAAAGGAAACCTTGGTTTACAACCATAATCCATTCTGGAGGTCCGTTTGTAAACCAAAACAGGTTGTAACCCAAGGCACGCTTTCACCAATGGGGCCTCCAAAAATTTTTTGTTCGTAATAAAAAAAAAAATGGGTTGTAATCCAAAGAAAGATTGCAAACGGGGACACACACTTCTGGGTTTGATGTGTCTATAATCCGAAACATATGCAAACCAAGGTACCACTGTAGTTCCCTCTCCCTCTTTGTGCAACTATTTGGCTTGGGGCTGGACTCCCACTGGTTCAGAGGTAAGGAAGAGTCTACACAGGCAGCTCAGGCTGGTAATTTCCCCAAACTTGATAAAAATAAAACCATGCTAGTAGATTTTAAAAATAGGACAGAAGTACTATCAATAGAACCATATAGCCTAAACTCTCATGATTCATCACAACTTGAAACTGTCTCACCTTAAAATCTCTTCTTTGTTTTGAACAAAGTGCTAGATAATAAACCATTTTATGGAATGTCAATAACATAATATAATTGTTATTATCCCCCCCCCAAAAAAAACCCTAAACATTTATCATGTGGCATCATTCAGAAACAAATTGGATTAATACTGGAAATGAAGACGTTTGAGGTGAGCCACATTCTTATGACAAATAAGGGATTATGCAACCCTATGGCACTAAATTTATTTGTTTTCTCAACAACCAGACTTCCAATTTTAGCATCTTTATGCATTATTTCAGACTTACTTTCTGATGGTTGGATGCATAAATAAAAACTATTGTAACTTGTTGCTAAAGCCCAATTCAGCTGAGAGAGTTGTGTCAAAAGATATAAATGATACCAATTCCGTTAGCATCGCAATCCTCAGACTTGATCAAAAGGCTGAACAAACAATGAAGCCTTAGAGCACTTTGAATCATCAAAAGAACAAGCATGGCTTCATTCTGCTCTAATCCTATTAGTGGAGGCTCCATCAGAAAGTCTTTTCCTCAGCTCAAAATTAAGGTTCTGGAACATTGTTCCAAACACGTTACTCTTCACTCTTAAGTTTTGTTTGTTTCTTTTGCCAGTAAAACTTTTTGAAAGCAAAGCCAGTTCTTGAGAAAGTTTTAAATTGCCATTACTTCATTGGCCTGGTTTGCCTGATAGAAAGTTGAACTATGGTTTGGGACGAAGCTTCTCTTTGGGAGCCCACATATTGACCTGGTCTGGATAAGCCTTAGTTTGGTTTACTGTGTCATGAAAACTAGGTCTTTGACTTTTCTATTGAGAAACTTTTCCTTGTTGTTGTTGTTACATGCAAAGGGTGATATCCAAATAATTCATACCTAGTAGTGCATTTATTTTCAATAGGTCTACTCTGATAATGACTTAATGTTGGGTCCCACCCACAGTGAATGATTATTAGTTATGTTAGTGCTGCTCTGTCACAAAAGAGGGTGAATTCGAAACTTTATGAATCCAGGTGAGGAAGAACCACCATTTTCAATTTCATTGGTACAAAATACAGTGCTTGCAAAATTATATTCTTACTAAACTTTTAGTAAAAGAGATGACTAGTAAATCTGAGGGATACATTTGCTGCTACAGTTGATAGTATTCTGTTACATGTAGTTGGGGAATAGACTGCACTTTTTCTTTTAGAGTGATGTTTTAGAGTAGTGTGGCAAACACATTTTGGATCTCTAGCTGTTATATTACATGAAAAGTTCATTTCGGTAGTTTTAAGTTGCTTTGGTTACATTTATTATTAACTGTTTTCAGTTTATACTGAGTGTAAATTCCTTAACCGTTACCTTAAGTATAAAATTGCACTGGATTCTGATGCTCCGGAGTATGCAGGACATAACAGACTGGACCATAATACAGAATTCTTCTCACAGGAGTATGGACATAACTGTCAACCTAATTCTATTTTGGTAAGTACATTTTTTTCTACTTCACTTCTGCAAAGGTATGTCTGCAGTGATGGTTAACATTTTAAATTCCCTATTATAAACCTGCATTATGTCTTTTGTCTCTGAAATATGACTACTGAAGTTTGCATGAAAATCTTAAGATTAAACTAAAGGTCATCAGTGAATGCGGTGTGACTTGGGCCAACTGATAGTTGGACAATAATGTTCCTCAATATCCTATATCAAGTATAACTGAACAAGATACAACAATTATCTGAAATAACTAAGCATGAAACCATTTTAGTATGCATTTTCTTTTTCATGTTGTTTAATTCCAAATTGTCGCATTTTCATGTCTCTGTAACTTGCATGTTTTCCTATTTCCTTTTACATAGAAACTTTGAATTTTGCTCTGTGTGTGTTTGAGTCTGGCTGCATGAACTGGCCTCAACATCCTAATTTTTCCAGTAGTGACTTAGGGAGCCCCCTAAACAAGGAGTGACAAATTACTAGTTTGACAATTCTTCAAAGTTCTGTAGATACATATGCTTGTTTTCCCTTAGGGTTCCGTGAATTATTTTCACTTTCGGTTGTACTTAGCAATGTCTAAACCATACCTCTCTCTTTTTTTTTTTGGTGACCTAAAAACATGATAGTATGTGGGGAGAATATTTTTGCTCCTTTGATTCATTGGCTTACACGCAATGTTAGTCCTACTTAGAGTAGACCCAATAGACAGCTGATTTAGGTCCATTAAATTCAGAACATCTACTTGAGTTGTATACAACCCATTGTTTCAGTTCTCTTTTACATTTATAACCATATCCCATTACCCTGATACACCTTATTTCTTACAAATTATCAGCTCACTATATTGGCTAATACTGTGATCCAAAGAGGTATGTGAATAGTCTCTGTACATGCTTGCATTTTTTTGTAGATCATTCTTTCGAGTTCTTCCAGTACACTTGGACTCATCTCTAAATTTACTTACGCATTTACATTATATACGGGCTTTTTACCATCTTTACTTTTCTTAGCAACTTAATGAAGAAAAAGGTTACATCACTAGAAATTTGAAGCCCTTCTCACAAATATTAGTATAATGGGTGTATCCATTCCAGACTTGCAGGCCTTACAGGATAAGATAGTTGACCACATTCCTGGCTCATAGTTCAGTTTGGGTATGCACCAACCAGAAAACTTGGTTTGGACCTTAGTTTGGTGCTTCAGAAACAGCCTGATTCAAAAACTGCCCCTTTTTGGAATAAACAAATTGTCATGCCTTTCCATACACCACTATTAAATGGCTAGGATTTTTTTTGGGGGGGGGGGGTTGCAGGGAGGAGGTTTGACAGACATTGATGAAATTTGAAGGCATGACTTTGTTAAGCCAAGCAAACAGGGAATGTGTACAGATTCTTATTTTGATTTAAAGCTATATTAGAACTTTTCAGAGAAATTGCATTTGATTCATATTGCATCTAACCATTTCAACATAGGCAAATTTGTATTCTGAACCTTTGTGGCATCACTAATTAGTGTCCCCCAGCCCCATTCTGTATGGACTAGAGGTGTAACTCTGCCAATATCAAGTTGTTTATCCTACAGTTACCATACCATGTTAAGCATTACAACCTTTGTTAATAAAATCCCTAAATTGCTTCTAACTTAATTTTTCTTTCTCTTTGAGGAAATAGGACGTTTTGGTTACCCAAGTTTTGTACCACTTTAAACCTTTAAAACATTGTGAATGGTTAGTTTACCATTTCTGGAAGAAATGTATATTTATTCTGCTGCTACATTTTGCATTCAGTGGGAAATTAAGTATCGATTTCACACACACAACAGAAACCAAAGCAACAAAATACTATGTTTTGGTCAGAAATCAAACTGAATCCCAAGAAACAACATAATAATACCATTATCCCATTTCCCCTTCCACTACTCTAGCAGTAAACATTAACACAGCTAACAGTGTAAGACAATAATTGTGTGTCTTATTAACCATACCTTACTTCCAAGTTGGCATGAATATTGGGGATGCATAGTAGAAAATAAACATGCCCAGGGGCTAAAGCTATGGTAAAGAAGGATCTTGGCAAGTGCATGTGAGGGAGCATGTGAAATAAAGCAAATAAAGCAAGGAGATGGGAGCCAAGTAATGAATGAACTAATATAGTTTTGAAGTAGCTGCAGGTTGTGGCATGGCAAGTGCACTACTATGTTAGTTACAAAGCCCAAAAGTGTGGGTCACGCTTCTCCTTTATATCCTTCAGCAACCCAATTCACTGAGTGCAAGTGATCGCCAGTCCCGAGGACAACAGCACACATACTACCTGGAGGTAAAGTTGCAGATAAAAGTGTGCCAGCCAAAACTGTAGCACTTCCCTCCCCCTCTGAAGGGCAGGATCCTCTTCTTCTGTGCCTGGAGCCAATTTAATTTTAATCCCCACCCCACCACCATAGGACCATAGATCAATTGTAGAGCATCTGCTTTGCATGCAGAAGGTGCCAGGTTTAGTCCCTGGTGTCTCCAGGTCATGCTGGCAAAAGCCCCATCTGTCTGAAATCCTGGAAGGCCACAGCTAATCATAGTAGACAATACTGAGCCAGAGGGAACAGTGGTCTTGCAGAGTATATGGGAGCGTCTTATTTTTCCAGCACACCAGGCCATGTATTGTGCATCTGAACTTACAGAAACAAATGTTGATATTTCTGCAAGCTATAGACTGTACAGTGGTTTGCTAAAAATAACACACTTGTTCCATGTCTGAGCTGAAGGAGCCCTGATCAGCTGACAAGCAGATCTCAAAATTCTGTTGATTTTCCCCACCCACCCACCCACCCAGCCTTATCACAGCTCATGCTATTCAGAACAATTCCATCCAGCAGAAATGGTGTGCAAGCAGAGCTCTAAACACCATTTTCTGGAATCTGCCCATTCACAAGTCAGCAGCAACTAAAAAGGGGGAAATGCGGATCACACAGTTCTTTAGAGAATCCAGGAACCAACTAGTATATCTTAAGTCATGTTTGTGTATTACTCATGTACTGGGTGTTACTGTGATTATTCTGGAGCAAGACAATTCCTCAAACACACTCCTGGTCACATGTAGGGCGGCCATGTAATTGGGACATTGAATTATGCGGGTGCCCCTGTTGCACAGAGCCCCTACGTGTGAATAGAAGCACACTTCTGCTTTAGACAACCGTGGCAACAGACAGTTGTTTGAGGAAGGCAATGTGATGTCAGAGACAGGACTAAAAGTACAGTCCCACTCCAAGTAAGCAATATTTACAGATGAGTAATACATGAATGGGGGAAAGAGTCATTTCCATTCTCATAAAATCAAAGTTGAAGAGAGCAGGGGAGCTTGCTTGTTTCTGGTTCCTGCCCAAAAATAGGTCTTCATTTCCTGGAACTACCTGCAAAATCCAGACCACAGTATGCATCACCAGTGGAGAAGACATGTATAGCAGAAAGATACAAGCAGAGCAAACAGCTCCTATTTTGAGACATACAGGTGATCTAAAATGCATGTTTCATTGGAAGCTCCCATAGTGTATAATCAGCAGTGGTGGGGATTCTGCTGCAAATCCCAAATATTGTATATAATTCCAGCAGTAAGTACGTTCTGTCTCTAGTTGAGGGCAGTACCTGTAGCCCCAAGGAGATGAAAGAACAATACAAAACCAAACTTATGTAATTCTGTTAGAAGTGATTTTATAATGGCTATGCACTTTAGCTAAGGCTGCCAAGATCCATCCGCTTGAAGCACTTAGGTGTTTCCATGCACCAGAACAAAAGCAACATCAACAAGCCCACGTAAAATGGCAAGTACAAATTTGCAAGAGTGTATCTGTGATCCAAATAGCATCTGTGGCGGGATAAGGCTACTTTAATTCTGTCCGAGGGAAAAGAGAAGGGAAAAGCGGGAGGAGAGTGTCCTGTGAAAAATACGTGAGAAAAAGCAAGTGATAAATTGAAGTTGTAAGGTTCATTACACCGAGAAGTTGCTTACTGCAGTTACGGTAATGGCATATGGGCAGACACGCAGTCTGTTATACAGGAACAGGTTTTAAAGCTATTAACAGTTTTAAAATCCAACAAGGCTAGCTGGGATTCAGATACATGTTAATTATCCAAACGCCTCATTTCTCCACTCATCACTAATCCAAATAATATTTTCCTTGCTATTTTTGCTTCCTTCCTGACTTATCTCTTTCAAGGTCCTTCATCATTACTTCAGTACTTATAACCAAATGGTACTCATTTGCTAACTGTTTTTAATTATGTAAGGGGTGACCTTTTTGATAAACGTGTTTTTATTTGCCAGTTCCTTAACTCAAGATAAACCCTACTTTTCTTCCTTTTTGTTACCTGCGATATAAATGGAGGGTGGTGCTGTAGGTAGTTTATTGTGTACTTCTACATAAGAACATAAGGCGAGATGGCTGGATCATCTAGTCCATCTAGTCCAACGTCCTGTTCTCACAGTGCCCAACTAGATGCCTGTAGGAAACTACAACTGGACATGAGCACAACAGCACTTTGTCTATACTGCTAATACCTTTTGTGGAGCCCTGTAATCATTCGGAGGTATCACTCAGCTGTGAGTGACCGCCACAGAAGAAGCAGAATCATGTTCCACAAACTGTGTTAGCAAATTGGAAAAAATACAGAGAGCTGCAGATACAATGTCAAGTTTTGTTCAATTGCCTTTATTTTTCCTATAAAAAAAATGTTTCTTGTAGTCCAGTGAGTTGGATCCAAAGACTGTTCCTTTCCTTTTATGGAAGGAGTCTTCTTATGATGTAAGAAGTATGTATTTGAATCCAGTGAGGAGCTTTATATAGAAGAAGTCAGCAAGTGTGGGGGGACTGGTCTTTAGTAGGTATTAAAAGTATATGGCACAGTTCTACCGCTGAAGTTGAACAGCTCGACAGTGCAAGCCTCTAAACGTCTACTCAGAATTAAGTCCTCCAGGTAAGGGCTTGTAATCCTAGGCAAGTAAGGCACAAGGATAGGAGATACCTGTAACATTTATATAAGCCATTCTTGACTTTTTTGAGAAAGACCGGTACAACAAAGTAGCAAATATCCACTTTTCAGAGGTGATAAGTATAGGCTGACCATTTTGTATTTCCATATTTTCCATGGATTCATGGCATGCATTCATTAGTTGATAGTTTCTGTGCATTATTCTGTGGCAGCCACTCATTTAGCTGTATTTTTATTTTCACCTGGTTTTTTCCCACCTGTTCTAATGCACAAATTAATGTGGTCATTTATTTACATTAAATCAGGTACTTTTCAGAACAAATGCTTGCTGTTTTGTACATTTCATTGCACACCCAATGGAATGTTCATGTCGTTAGTTTGATGTGGCAGGCCACACTTTGAATGAGTGGCTAAGTGTTTGGAGGAGCTGTGCTTTTCACTAATTTCTTTGTCTTCCTGGAGGATGGCATGTTGAATCTATCAGAACGGTCTGCTCCCAGAGGCTAATGGAATCTGATAAGATACTTGAGTGCCCTTAGGGAGTTTCCACTTTGCGCAGCTGTCCTGTCAGAGCTCTAATCTCTCTGTGGAATGCTAAGATGACTCAGGCACTTGACACTATCATAACTAAGTGCCCTCACCCAGAGTGCAGATCCAGTTAGCTCCCTGTTTTATCAGACATCTGAGGGGAATGGAGCAGGATGGGAGATGAGCAGTGATGGTAGTGAAGAAACTTATCCATCAGCCATGGAGTGTTATCCAGTCAGCCACAAATGTTGCCTTCTTGAGTAATGTATTCCTGAGAGTGTTTTCTGTGCACTTCCTTTTGGGCAAGACGTTACCTACACCTGTTTCAATCCAGTTTTAGGCCTGGTTTTGGCACAGAAGCTACCTTTCTGCTTTAATGAAAGACAGGTGAAATGTAATCCTGATAGTTGTTATCTTGGACCTTACAGTGGCCTTCAGCCACGGCATCTTTTTTGGACTAGTTTTGTGAACATGGCATTTGAGGCACAGTGGTAAGCTAATTCCACTCCTGCGCGAAGTGCCATTTCCAGAAGGTGTTATTGAGAGACAACAGCACAATCCCTGCAGAGTCTTGCAAGTGTCCACCTAGTGCCCTGTACCTTTCAATGTCTACATGAACCAACTGAAAGAGGAATTTGGTGTGAATTGCCACCAATATGCTATTACCCATGTGTTATAGGTGAGACAGCAGATATTCTGAATTGATACTTGGAGTTGGCAATGGTTTGGGTAAGAGCCAACAAAAAGCTCAGTTCTGACAGTGCAAGGGTTCTGTGGATGGTGGTACTTCTGTTTGGGGAGAAAGTTTTCAACCTTGGTTGTATTTTATTGTCTTTGTGCGCTGGAAACTGACAAGGAGTCAGCAATGAAGGATGCTACATCAGTCTTCCGAATAGAATGTTTTCCATCCTAGGAATAAAAGGGAAGTGAATGTCTGGGGCAGATACTGTGTCCAGATACTGTCAGAAGCATAAGTGCTGTTTAAAAAAATAGCGCTAGGTTAGAACAATTGAAGCTAATTGAAATATAGGGCCCTTAAGAGGCATCTTGTCTAAATATACTTTCTCACAGATCTCTTTACAGATATACTGAGCCCATTTGGTACAGCAACTGAACTGCTAGTTTGGGGGGTTAACAATTCTGATTCTGTTCCTTCCCAGTTAATTTGAGTTGCGTTGGGCAAGTCATTAAGTCTTATCTAACCTACCTCACCACACAAGTTATTTGCTTGACTGAAATCAAATGGCTATAAAGAAATACAGTATACAAATGGTTTTTTAAAAAAAAAAATCAGTAGGGAAATTATGGAAATGCATGTTTCTTGCGTGTGAATTCATCCCTCATGACAGTAATACATACATTTTTCCCCTTTGTGTGAAAACTGTTCAGGAAAATTGTCATGTGAAGGAAGCCCAACTAATTCATGGTATGCAAGTCTTCAGCAGCACTTCTTAATATAAGCGACTAAGCTGTGTAATCCCTTAATGGAAGAAAGAGAGTTTGTCCTTGGAGACTAATATTTCCAGAGAATCAATATTTGGGATTCAAAGATCTGGTTCGTAATAGAGCATTGACAAAATTATCAAATCGCTGTGAGGAGTCCTTTGGATCCAACCCATTAGTTTTCTGACAAGGATTTATATATTGACTTTGGAGGATGTAATATAGGCTTCTTCTTTTTTTAGTTTGCCTTTTTAAATAGACATTTGCATAGACCAAGGGTTTAACTAGAAGATACACTGTTTTAAAACAGGGAACAGATTGGCAAAAATGATCTGCCAAATATGTTTTGGTATCATTGTTGCATTCTCATAGCTGTGCTTCCTCCCCTGTTTGTTTGTCTGCCTTTTGCCCCTAAAGATCATCAGTGGAAAGGGGGGCGAAAGGGGGAAATGGAGAGGAAGAGAGAGATAAGACAAAGTGCAAGAACCAAAAGGTGAAACGAGAAACAGATAGTCTTCTTCATCCAAGCCGTACCAGCTGTGTCCTTATCAGGAACAGGATACAAAAAACAGTGCTGGCAAAAGCTGCCTAAACTGCATGTGCTATATTAGAATAAATGCCTCTGTAACCTCCAAGGATTATATACCAAACCCATTCATACATCACTTGAATAAGTAGGCTTCCTAGATAGTTTTTTAAAAAATTAATTAGAACATTCTAGCTTTCAGCTGAACAGACTCTTCATAGTGCCTATGAGTACACTCTAAAAACTTCAGACATGTAATGCACACGACTGAACTATATCTGCTAGTACAGCCTTCACCAACTTGGTGCCCTCCAGATGTTTTGGACCATGTCTCTTATCAGTCCCAGCCAGCACAGCTTTTCTGAAAAATAAATGGACAACTGTGGAAGTAATGGGTTTCTCTTTCATTCCCTGTGTAAGGTGGCCAAGCAAACCACATAATCATAATTTGTCATAATATTGTATGACCAGTTACATCATACTTTTTGATGCTTGACCTCAGGTTGGAGATCTTTGCTTTATAGTTTGTCATCTTTTACACAGAAAAGCAGGCTCAACGTAGGCTTGGTTGTATAACAGTCATATATAATTTATTTACATCAGGCCATTTTTAAATGCAGTTCGTTTGTCTATGTAGTTACTATATTTTTAATCCTTTTTTAAGAAAACATTGTCTCCCAAAGTGGCTTACATTTTTTGTGTCAGGCACTGTCAGAAGGCTGACAAAATCACACAAGGGAAAGGAGAGGATAGGAAAGGCTTTTAAAAGGCAGAATGCAGAGCTAGAAGTAGCTGTTTACATCCAGCCGAAGACATACAGATTTTCTCTTGCTGGGGTTCTTGTGTGAATATAGTTGGTCCATGAGTGGGGACAAAGTGCCCTTTCCTTCTGCTTCTGCAGTCCCAGGGCATTGGCAGCTGAAGATGAGTATTTCTTTTGGCAAGCAGGAAGAAAGACTCCAGCTTCTTCAATGAGGCTAGGTCATTGTCACATGTCACCTTATTTTTGGATGGCAGGGGACACAGCCTTTGAGGTACCCTGATACTACAATTAAAAATAATTAAAGCTGGGGGGGGGTTTAAAGCAATTTCCATTCTTAAAAAAATAATAATCCCAAAATCTGATTTTATTTTATTTTATTACTAAATTGGGTGTGTAATACCAGTTTCTAAAGTACATACCTGCTAAATGCACCTATTCATCCCCATGCAATTCTGTGGAAGCAGATCTCTTGGTAACAAAGTTGTGTGTGTGTGTGTGTGTGTGTGTGTGTGTGTCTAATAGCCACAAATTAGTCAGTTTTTAAGGCACACAGACCCATTATTTTCATTGAAGTATCTGTTTCACAGCAATCCAGTTGCCTTGATAGTAATCTTCCACATTTTTTCAGGTCCTGAAAGATGGTCTAGAGTGCAGCAGCTTTTCTACATTGTGCTAATTTTCTTTGTTTCAAGCTGCCAGCTGCTTAGATCTGTGTGACTTGGTTTATCTAAAGCGATTTGGAAATAAATCCTCTGGCACTTAAAACTGCAGTAGTAAATAAGTGCAAAAAAGCTACAGCTGTAATTTTTTCCCCTTTGCACATACATTTGGGGGGCACATGACGCTATCCCAAGTGTATTTCACATTTTCTTCCCTGCTGAGCAGATTTGTAGGAGTTATTTATCACAGAAACCTTAGGGGAAAAAACACTCTGTTCACTGGCGAGAGCTGAGATGCATTGGACATGCTACAGTCTGGTTCGATGAAGATCAGCTGTTCTTTTCCTTTTTTCCTAAAGCTGTTTGCTTTACACCTTTCATTCCGGTTGCCGACTATAAAAGCTTTTCATGCCGTCAGTCAGACTCTCGCTAGGAGATAACATGGCTGAAAATAGCATTATATTAGGAATGCCAGGAGGAGGAAAGTCTTAAACACTGGCATTGTCAAAAAGGAAGGCTGCAATCTTCACTCATCTGCCGACTCTTTTCTAATTGCATTGTTATTGAGTTCAGTTTACGTGATCAATTGCATTCAGCAGTCTGTAAACTACGACGTAGCAAGGTAATTGGTAAACAGAACATATCTGTCATGTTTTGAGTTGTGAATCTAATCTGTGCTCGGAAGCAGCATTGTGCAGAATATGCTGCCACAGGTTCCTTTCCACCCTTGTTAAGAGAAGTAGTTCTGAAGAAGAAAAACAAAAAGTGGATCAGGTTAAATGAGATTAAAAGTTTCAGTGTCGGAATGCCAGTGGAAGGACTTAAGTCTCAACATGCAAAGGCAAACGAGTGGCTTGTTTTTCTGCTCAAGAATCAAGACCATAAAACCTGCTTCAGCGCTGTATTTTCAAGTGCCTTGCTGTGTCATACCTTGCATTTACCTGTACGAAATGACATCACGGACCTGGGGCAGCTTTAATTCAGAACACAATAGAGCTCAAATGCAGTAGTAAGAGTTTGTCATTTATCACTGTACAGTGTATCGACCCGAATGTCCTCAGATGTCTGAAATCGGTGATTGTAAATCACATGGAGCCCTCTAGTGGTAATTGCATTTAAACCTATCGCCAGATCTAACTTTAGGAAGTGGCAAAGGGAAAGGAAGTGTATAATTTCTATTGCCTTGTGGGCATTGAGACAGCATGTCCCATCCATAATTGCGCTCTGCTTTTAATTAATATTGATGGCACATTTCATGAAAGTTCGGTTCTTAAATGTATATTTCATGTTCAAAAAGTAGATTACTTATAGTACGTTATTTAGATTTCTGTCTTGCCCCATCCCAAAGGCATATTGTGAACAATCTGTAAGTTTTCCCCCTTTTCTTTTTTTTTAGGTGTACATTCCAAGCAGAGTGGCTCTAGTGCTTCAGAATATGGATATCCAAAACTGAAGACATCCATCCTACAATTAGATCCATGACGTCAAAGGCCAGGCACCATTTTGAGGAGAGAGATATCCAGGGTTTACTGTTTGGAAACTTTTCTATATGAAGATACATATTAATACTGAGAGCATTAAATATGTGCCCATTGTTTGTTTATAATTTCCCATTGTGAAATGCTTATTCAAAGAAATAAGCATTTAAAATCAGAGGAAAGAAAAGTGCATTGTTGACAACTCGACGGATTGTTAACAGACTTAGATTTCAGAACAGCTGGTATCCTCAAAGTAACTCTTCCAGTATTTTAGGAGAAATATTTCAAAAACTGCCTTCACTGTTTTCAACTATTTGCTTCAATCCCATTTATAATTTTGGTACTGAATGCAGGTTTTTCATTAGATGACATTTTGTGTTAGAAATAAATAAATAATGATGTTGTTGCCTTCAAAGGCGGCCTTATGTATTTGTTTGACAGTGGGTTCCAAGCTTATTAAATGTTTTCAGTGTTTTCATATGTTAAACCACTAAAAAAGCAAGGTTGTTTAGATTTAACAAACCTATTGGAAAAAATATATATATTGGGGAATGATACACCTGAAAGTACTGAGTATTATAGCCTACAGAGCTTGCACATAATAATGATAATAATTTATTATTTATACGCCACCCATCTGACTGGATTGCCCCAGCCACTTTGTGTAGCTTCCAACAAATTAAAACATACAGTTAAAGACACAGGCTCATGCCCAAACATACTTTCTAAAAACAAAGTCAAACAATAAATTGCTTAGGAAGCAATCCAAACCCAAGATCCACCAGTATGGGTAGGGTTTGGAATTGGGGTAATTTAGGACATCATAAATTGCACTGGGATTAATCATGCCAACTTCCTATAGTTTGCATTGCTCTGCTCCTCTTATTTATGTTTCATTGTATCAAAGCACATCATACCCAGTTGTACAAATGGCAGGCGAAGCATGCAACTTCAGTATCATGCTTGGAAATTGCGACCTCACATCTTTATAAATCAAACTATCTAACTTGCTAACCATGAGTGAACACGTATAGAACATTATTTCAATCAAGCTAGGTGTTAATTTAAAACGTTAGCGTAATAGAATTGATTCTTCACTATATATCTTGAGTGAGATCCAGCGTAGTGTGATCCTGAATCCACTTGTGTAATTGGGCTTCTCCTTCCCTCTGTGTTTCCCCCAAAAAATATCTGCTGTGTAGGATTTGAATCCACAATCTTTGTCTCACTTTGTAAACTCCGAACTACTTGTGCCAGTATTCACAGCACACTTGTAAGTATCACAAATGTCTTTCCTAACATTTCACCATAATTGTTCAAGAGTAAGGTTATATTGTGCCAGTATGGTCCAATAGATATAAAAGTAGAATTTCTTCCCCTGCATCTCCAATAATGTTTCTATATTGGAACCAAATCAGCATGGGGGCGATCGGTGCGTCGGCAATTTGCCTGAGGAGCCAGTCGGTGCTTCAGCGATCCGATGGGGGGGGGATTGGTGCGTCGGCAACCCACCCAGGGGAGCGATCGGCGCAATGGCGAGCCACCCGGTGGGGATTTTGTCACCCCCTTCTGGGATGACACCCAGGGCAAAGCACCCCCACCACACACCCCTCCCTATGCCCCCGATTGCATGATTCATTGCTGGGCCAGGCAACATTCATTTCATCCTGCCTACAGAGTTCTGACAAGAATTGTTTCCTAAGGCCTTTGAGGGTGATGGGGAGGGAGGATATCTTCCATGAAAACAGAAAAACAAATCTCAGTTCAGTCCCTCTGGATCACAGAGGCATTCATAAATGTTGTAGCTTCTGTTTGTGTTTAGTTCATCATGTATGGGAAACAATAAGTGCTAAAGTGCTGATTAATATCCTACCTGTTTTTCATTTGACAGTTTGTTAAACAAGAGCCAAATAAGTTACTGTTCTCACATTTAAGTCCGTGGTGAGTCTGTAATTGTTTTACAACCTTTAAATCTGGAGGTGAGATAAACAGCTCTATAAATATGTGATATACTTTTTTGTTAAATGGATTTATTAATATATAATGAAAACTTTACAGGCCCCGCGTCTGGGCATGTAAATGCAGTGCAAGGCAATTGTCCATGTCAAACTTTTGTGCAAGAAAAGCAATAAATATATAATATGATTAGAAGCTATAAAATTACTTGCAAATAAATGGAGAGATGTTAAAAAAAAAAATGCTTGTGGTGTTTTGGTATCATAGATTTACTCAAGATATTACCGAAGCATGCAGAAGCTTTAAGCAAAATAAAATGTTGGCATCAGCAGAAGCAAGTTAAGATTGCAGAATAATTATCATCTTTTCTGCTTAGAACCACAGCAGAAATGAAACAACATTAAATGCTTTTACATGATTTGCAAGGTTGCTAGATCCCAGTTCTAGCTTTACTTAATGTCAAGTTGCTGTATTGCCAAGATCAAGATTTTCAAAGTATGCCAATTCATGCACAGATGCTTAGAAATCCACTGCTAAAGAAATCCACCCTGAAATGGGGATGGGAGTTACAAGTAGAACCACATTTTTATGCTTGGTGTCCTAAATACATATTTCAAATTCAGATGTGCATTTTGATGTAAATAGTCTACAGTAAGGCTTCAGTAGAAAGTAGATGGAGTTCTATTAAGTGTTTTGAATGTTAGCCCAAAGGGTCTACCAGTTGGAATAGGAGTACAAATTTTTGAACAACTATAGATCCAGGCAGTCAGCTTTGCATTAGTTTCTACTCACTTTGTCAACCATAGGCTGACAGACGCTTGAAGCCATTAATGGGGCTTCGAACCCTCTGTTTAACACAGTCTGCCATCTATTCTTGCTTTAAAGCAGAGTTGCTCATAATGAGATTTCTTACATTCAGAAAAGCCAAACCTGTCTGAGTGCAACTGGGAGCTGGCAAAGATATTACTGCAGCTGATATAACTATTCACGTGAGTCGTCCCTTTGTCTGTGCAGTCTAATCATGGAGGAAGAATTCTGATCTTCCCCTTCCCTCACATTTTTCTCCTCACACTAGTAGACTATTTGTGTCAGCAGTATATAAGCTGTAATAATGTCTGCTAGTGATAAGGGCTGCTTCTCACTAGGTATGGGGCATGGTGAGGAGGAACCATAGCTTCAAGCTGGCACCATGTTTCAGAGGCTCCTTGGCCAGTCTGGCACCTCTTCCCCCTCCTGACAAGCATACAGCACTGGGCTCTCTTCCTGAGACACTGGAGATGTGCTGCTAGTCAGGACAGACAGACCAAAAGTCCTAACTGGCCTATGGGGACTTTTATGCTGCTTATAAATTGGGGGTGGGGGAGCAACATTTGTTTTCCTGAACATTCCTTCGGAGTAAACATTCCATTGGGGATAATCTGGCATGGGGACACATGCCTACTAGAAGTGTCTAGAGCCAGCAATGGTTGGATCAGAACCAAAACTAGGTGGGAAAATCAACCCCTCCTTCTTCTACCTTGGCCAGTGGTCTCCTGGGAGATGGGACACATTTTTTTCACTATGGGTCTGAACTGATTGATTAAAGAGGGCTTTTCTGATTAATTGAAGAGGAGTTAATTTTTTTTAACCATGATCCATATAAAATTGGGGTGCAGGTTGCCAACTCAAATGCATCATCATTGCATTCGGTATCAAGGGGTGAATGTTTGTTTCAAATCCATTTTTCCACTTCTTGAGTGCAAGTTTTTGAAAAGACAGTCATATGAACAGTCTACTACCCATACCAGAGATGGAAACCTGTGGCCAGATGTTGTTGGACTACAAGTCCCATCATCACTGACCATTTGTCAAGATGGCTGGGGCTGATGGGAGTTAGGTTGCAGTTCAAGTGAAGGACACCACAGTTTAAGAAGGATATTGATCAGCTGGAACATGTGCACAGGAGGGCAACCACGATGATTAAAGGTCTGGAAACTAAGCCTCATGGGGAATGGTTGAAGGAGTTGGGTATGTTTAGCCTAGAAAAAAATGAAACTGAAAGATTTGATAGCTATCTTCAACTATCTTAAAGGCTGTCACACAGAAGATGGAGCAAGCTTGTTTTCTACTGCTCCAGAGAATAAGACTCAAACCAATGGATTCAAGTTACAAAAAAGGAAATTCTGACTAAACATCAGGAATAACTTTCTGTCAGTAAGAGCTGTTCACCAGTGGAACAGAGTCCCTCAGGAGTAGGTGGACTCTTCTGCCTTGAAGGATTTTAAGCAGAGGTTAGATGGCCATCTGTCATGGATGCTTTGCATTGCAGGGGGTTGGACTAGATGATCCTTGGGGTCCCTTCAAACTCCTATGATTCCAGAAGAGAATCAGGAGGAATACATCTCTGACCTATGCAGATCTCTTAATCAGGCCCACTGAAGGCAGGATGAGAACACACTTTCTCTGTGATGAGAAAGTTTAGGGGAATACTACAGACAGAAAGCTAGAAATTTCTTTGTGGCATGGAACCACAACTAGGACTCCTCTCTGGTGGTAGAGTCACAGCCAATTTTATGTAATGCAGGCAGTCTGAAAACTCCTCCTTCCAAATGAGAGTGATTATACTTGTTCAGATAAGGCTGGGCTGCGACCAAAATCTTCACAGTGTATTGCATGACACTATCGCATTCAGGATAGATTACTGGTGTGCTCTGTAGCCTGTGCTTCCTTTGAAATTAATTCACAGTTGTGGCAGCCCATTTGCTGGAGGCCTTGCTCCCAAGAAATACATTAAACTCTTTTGCTTGTAACGTAATAATGATCAGATTTAAATTTCCTCTCTTTATTTTTCTTCTCAAGTTAATGTCTAGGAATTAATGGCAGTGAATCAACATTCAGAAAATTAACGGTTGTGTCAGGCTTCACCATGTTAGACCACTAATTGTGGTGATAAGGAGATAAAGCATTGATTTATGTATATTTTTTTAAATGCATAAGTGATGTATGAGCATAGTTCAAAGCAGGGAAAAGCTTCATCTCTTCTACCTCATAAACTCAGGGTGGCCCTACCATTAGGCACAGCAAGACAGCTACCTCAAGCAACTGATTTTCAGTGTCATGAAACAGAAGCAAATTATTACCTACTTTATTGCATTTTCACCGCCAGGCAGGAGAAGCAACATTTGCAGAATGGTATACCTCAGCTACCAAAGTAACATTGCTAATCTTGGATACTATGAACCTTGATGTGTGGGCTCTGAGGATCAACTAGTCCAACCCCTGCAATGCAGGAATATGCAACTGCCCCATAATGCAACCCTGGCATTATCAGCACCATGCTCTATCTAACTGAGCTATCCAGGCTACACCTTAGACAGCAAAACACATTGGACCAGCCCTGTAGAGACTACAATCCCAAACTGACTGAAAAGCCTCCAGGCCACATATTGCTGGCATGGACACTCCTATGAACAATTCATAAATGAGAAATGACCAGTGTGCGTAGCACTGATTGGCCAGGCCTTATGCTACTCATACACCAACACATGGATACAGGAAGTTGCCTTATACTGAGCCAGACCTCCGGTCCATCTAGTCAGGCCCATGCAGAGTCTGACTGGGGCCCATGGAAGAAGTCTTGTTGGAATAAAGTTATAAACTCAAACAAAAAAAACAGCTGGTCCGTAGTGAGGCCATATGGCAGGCTTCGCCCTCTGAGACCTGGGGCAAGTATACCCTCTCCGTGGACCTACATCTGGCTCAGTATTGTCTAAACAGATCGTGATCTATCAGCAGATCTGTGTCTGTGGTAGATCATTTTAGCCCCGCATCCCCAAAATGTGGCTTCCCCCTCCCTAAAAAAAAGCTCCCAAAAAGGGGGTAGATCATTGGTCTTCACTGAGTAGCAGCCCGTTTCCAGGATTTTAGACAACTGAGTTTTTGGCAACCCCACCTCCCAAAATCAATATGGACATTGGGGGGGGGGAGAGACCATCAGCTTTCGAGCTTACTCTGCATCAGTGGTAACAGTGTGTTGAAACTAAGGCTAGGTAGAGTCCCTCCGTCCTATGCTCAGGTTGGGTATATGTGTAAATAAAACAATATACCCTAAAGATAGCACAATCTCCACTTAATTTCAAGGAAAACAAACCTGGAAATCCTAGAGTCCCTTGCCGCCCTGGGGTGGTGTGCAAACAATATGCAAAAGTCCAAGTGACTGGTGCTACAAAATGTGGTGGTGTCAGTCAGACCTACAGAATGTGCTTATGGGGAAGAAATAGCTGCCACAAAGTTGGAGGGATTTGTCTAAAGCTGGGATGGGGCATCTCAGGCCCTGGTGGTCAAATGTAGCCTCTTCTATCTGGATCTCAGGTGTGTTCTAGGCCACAGCCACTTCCTAGCCAGACCTCTTCTCCCCAAGCCATACCCCTCAGCACCCCTGCTTTGCATCCTCCTTGGGTGTTTTTTGCCTGGCTAGAATGTGCCAGTACCATTACTGTTACTCTGTTTGTGCTTCTTGCTTGCCTGAGTCTGTGTAGAAACAAGCCTACAGTACAAAGGTAAGAGGAACATCTATTGCCCTGCCCACTTTTGTTTCTAACCCTTTCCCGTCACTGACATGTGGGAGTGCAGCCCAGAAGGTTGCCTTGTTGTTGTTTAGTCATTTAGTCGTGTCTGACTCTTCATGACTCCATGGACTAGAACACGCCAGGCACTCCTGTCTTCCACTGCCTCCTGCAGTTTGGTCAGACTCATGTTGTAGCTTCAAGAACACTATCCAACCATCTCGTCCTCTGTCGTCCCCTTCTCCTTGTGCCCTCCATCTTTCCCAACATCAGGGTCTTTTCCAGGGAGTCTTCTCTTCTCATGAGGTGGCCAAAGTATTGGAGCCTCAGCTTCAGCTGAAGGTTGCCTAGAAGAGACCATATCTGACCTTCTGGCTGAAAAAAGTTTCCCAGCCCTCTAAAATGAGGGCTGTAGACTTCCACACTGCAGATAAATTCCCAAGCATGACAGCAGCTACCTCATAGAGAAAAGATGTGGGAGGAAGTTAACAGTGTAAAAGGAGATAATAGAGTCAGAACTTACCCCGATCCTTTCCTTTGTTTGCTAATGGTGAGTTTTTCTTCCTGAAGTACATCACCACCACCTGTGACAAAGACAACAGGTTAGGGGGATTTGTGGTGTTTTTCATTTTTTTTAAAGATAATTTCCTCTGTTTCCCACTTCCACCCCTTTCCAGGCTTAAGTGAATTAAA